CACGGGCCCAGCCGCTCCGCGGCATGTGGGATCTTCCGGACCGGGGCACGAACCCATGTCACCTACATCGGCAGGCGGACTCTCAATCACTGCACCACCAGGGAAGCCCCTGCAAATGTCTCTTGAATGCTTACTGGGCACCAGGCAACGTTCTAGGAGTTTACCATATAGTAACTCACCTCATCCGCCCAATAACCTCCTGAGGTCGATTCTTTTATGGTCCTCATTTTACAGATAAGGAAACCCAGGCACAGAAAGTTAGTATTCCAACCAGATCTCTGAGCACATAAAGGAGAGAGAGCTGGGATTTGAACGCAAGCTAATTGTTACAGAGACCATGTTCTGAGCCACCATACAGGACCACTCCTCACAACTGGGAGGCTCCTAGGAAGCTCTAGAATACCCCTGAGTACATCTTAAAAACTGTCCCATTTGGCCTCATTTCTGCTACTATTGATATTTATAGGTGAGAGTTGATAGGCTACTGGTACCTAAAAGAACCCCACAATACTGGAAGGATGCGGGATTCCGTCGTTCATTCACTGGCGTGGGAAGTTTCTCCAGGCAGATACATAGGAATGCACACTTGGAGATGGTGAGAAAGAAATAGCAAACCCTCTGGTTCTCTCTTTGCCCATCGTTAGGTCAACGGGGTGACAGTTCACGGAGCCACGCCCCTCTTCAATGCTTGCTGCAGTGGCAGCGCTGCGTGTGTCAACGTGCTGCTGGAGTTTGGAGCCAAGGCCCAGCTCGAGGTGCACCTGGCTTCACCCATCCACGAGGCAGTGAAGAGAGGTAAACGAGGCATCACGTCGCACACAGAACATTGGTGGGCTCCCTCCAATCTGCATGAATCAGTCATAGAGAGTTTTCTTTGCAAGGATCGCCCAAATCTTTTTCACCAGTAGGCTAGCTGTGGCTTAGAAATCCCACAGCAGTAACTTGAATATACCTAAATCTTTAGGAAATACCACTGGGGCATGACACAGCTCTTCTTAGAACCAGGGAATGGCTGTCTGCCTCAGATGTCCTCTTTCCTGGGCTCAGTCTCCCAACAGGGCTTGCTTGAGGCTCCTTGCTGGTGTTTGGGCGGCAGCTGGTGGAGTCAGGAGTGCAGGGGTAACTTCCACGAGCTGTACTGTGTTTATGTCTCTGTTCTTACTAGCAAAGAACAGTTCATGCCCCAAAGCCCGTAAGACATCAACCACCGCCATAAAATAAGTGGTGAAAGTGTCTGAAAGCCCAGACCGATAGTGTCTCTAATGGAGGATTAAAGATAACTGTCCACAACAAGCAATATACTCTAGATGAGCTGATAGCTCTCAAGGTCATTAGTTACTGAAAAAAAGTTGCAACTGTAAAAACCATGGCATTGGAAACCTTGAGGTGGATTCTAGATTTCTGTGTTCTCAGTTGCTTTTGAAATGATGGAAAAGAGTAAAATTAAGGAATTTTAAAACTGTATGCATAGACTAGACATGAACAAGAAGAGCCATTGAAAGGCCAACGCCATTTGTCAAAGGTCACACCCAAAGAGCAACATTTTCTGTGTTACCCAGCGGTGGAGTTATTCTCTTATATTGAGATCAGAAATACAGTGGAGAGAGTTCCCTGGTGGTCTGGTGGTTAGGATTCGGTGCTTTCACTGCTATGGCCCGGGTTCAATCCCTGGTCGGGGAACTGAGATCCTGCAAGCTGCATAGCATGGCCAAAACAGAAAAAAAAATTTTTTAATTAAAAAAATAGAAATACCGTGGAGAAGTTAGAACACTGTAGAACAGTGATCTTTGCTAGTATAATGAGAATTAAAGTCTTTATTTCAAAAAGTGAAAGTTTTATTCACTTAAATAAAGTGAAATTCACTTTATTTCAATAGTGAAAGTTTTGTCCCAGGTTGTTAAACATGTCACGTGGTAATTTTTTTTTTTTGCAGTGATTACTATAAATGATACAACCCCCCCAAATCTCAGTGTATCTATGATTTTGATGTCCTGTACATATTTAACAAACATTTATTAATTAATAACTGATGCTGATTATTTCCCAAACTTCAAGTAAGTCCTTTAAGTTGTAGGGA